ATCAAATCATTTCATATAACAATCCTCTATGAAAGGGTCACCAACCTCATTTTTAAAATGAGAAAGCTGGCAGGGTGCAGTGGTTCACGCCTGGAATCCTAGCACTCTGGAAGGCTGAGGTGGGTGGATTGCCTGAGCTCACAGGTTCAAGACCAGCCTGAGCAAGAGCAAGATCTCGTCTCTAAAAACAGCTGGGTCCCCCAAATATCTCCTAACCTCTCCCCTCCACTCTCTTCTCTCTCCTCTTCCCTTCTATTTTCTTGACTTTAGTTATGTCCCCAACCTCTCCCCTCCACTCTCTTCTCTCTCCTCTTCCCTTCTATTTTCTGGACTTTAGTTATGTTTTACCATTCATATGAATGTGTAGGTGATTATATGTTGATTTCATAATAGTATTGAGTACATTGGATATTTTTCCCCATTCCTGAGATACTTTACTAAGAAGAATATGTTCCAGCTCCATCTAGGTAAACATAAAAGATGTGAAGTTTCCATATTTTTTTATGGCTGGATAGGTTTCCATGGTGTACATATACCACAATTTGTTAATCCATTCATGAGTTGATGGGCACTTGGACTGTTTCCATGTCTTGGCAATTATGAATTGGGCTGCAATAAACATTCCGGTGCAAATGTCTTTTTTGTAAAATGATTTTCGACCATCTGGATATATACCTAGTAGAGGAATTGCAGGATTGAATGGTAAGTTTGCTTTTAGTTCCTTGAGTATTCTTCTTTCCAAAAAGGTTGTATTAGCTTGCATTCCCACCAGCAGTGTAGAAGTGTTCCCCTCTCTCCACATCCACGCCAACATGTGTTGTTTGGAGATTTTGTTATGTAAGCTAATCTTACTGGAGTTAGATGATATCTTAAAGAGGTTTTGATTTGCATTTCTCTGATGTTTAAAGATAATGAGCATTTTTTCATGTGTTTTATAGGCCACACACTGTCTTCTGAGAAGTTTCTGTTCAAGTCTCTTGCCCACGTAGAAATGTGGTTATTTGTTATTTGTTATTTTCTTATTAGTTTTAGTTCTCTGTGGATTCTAGTTATCAGACCTTTGTTGGAAGCATAACCTGCAAAAATCTTCTCCCATTCTGAAGGTTATCTGTTTGCTTTACTTACTGTGCTCTTGGCTGCACAAAAGCTTTTTAGTTTGATTAGATCCCAGTAATGTATTTTTGGTGTTGCTTCAATTGCCAGGGGATCCTCCTCATAACATATTCTCCAGGCTGATTTCTTCAAGTTTTTCCTCTGCATGCTCTTCTAGTATTTTTATAGTTTCATGTCTTAAGTTTAGATCTTTTATCCAGTGAGAATCAATTTTTGTTAATGGTGAAAGGTGGGGGTCCAGTTTCAGTCTTCTACAGGTCACCAGCCAGTTCACCCAGCACCATTTGTTAAATAGGTGAATGTTTGTGATAGGCTTATCAAAGATCAAATGATGAGAAGTACCTGGGTTCATCTCTTGGTTCTCTATTCTTCTATTTTTGAGACAGAGCCACAAGCTTTTGCCCTGGGTAGAATGCTGTGGCATCACAGCTCACAGCAACTCCAATCCCTGGCTTAAGCATTTCTTGCTTCAGCCTCCCAAGTAGCTGAGACTATAGGCACCTGCCACAATGCCTGGCTATTTTTTGGTTGTAGTTGTCATTGTTGTTTGGCAGGCCTGGTCTGGGTTTGAACCTGCCAGCTCTGTGTATGTGGCTGGTACCTTAGCCCCTTGAGCTACAGGTACCAAGCCTTGTTTCTCTATTCTGGTCCATAAATCTACCTCTCTGTTTTTGTGCCAGTATCATGCTGTTTTGATCACTATATATTTAAAGTATATCCTGAAGTCTTGTAATGTGATACTTCCTGATTTGTTTTTATTTCTTAGTAATCTATTAGCTATTGAGTTTTTTTCTGATTCCATATAAAATGAAGCACTATTTTTTCAAGCTCTTTAAAGTATGACAATGGTGTTTTAATAGGGATTGCATTAAATCTGTAGATTGCTTTGGGTAGTATGGACATTTTAACAATGTTGATTCTTCCTAGCCATGAGCATGGTATGTTTTTCCATTTATTAACATCTTCAGCTATTTCTTTTCTCTGAGTTCATAGTTCTCTTTATAGAGATCTTTCACATTCTTTCTTAAGTAAATTCTCAGATATTTCATCTTTTTGGGCACTACTATAAAAGGAATAGAGTCCTTGACTATATTGTCAGTTTGACTATTATTAGCATATATGAAAGCTACTGATTTATAAGTTTTGATTTTGTATTTGATTTTTTCACCGCTGTATTCCTTGATCGCTTCTAAGAGGTTTGTAGTTTAGTCCCTGGGATTATTCAGATATAGGATCATATCATCTGCAAAGAGTGAGACTTTGATCTCCTCTGACCCTATTTTGGATACCCTTGATCTTCTCTTGCCTGATTGGGATGGCTAAGACTTCCAATACTATGTTGAATAGCAGTTGGGACAGTGGGCATCCTTGCCTAATTTGTGATCTGAGTGGAAATGTTTTCAATTTTAGTCCATTCAATACGATATTGGCTGTGGGTTCGCTGCAGATGGCCTCTATCAGTTTAAGAAGTGTCCCTTCTATGCCTATTTTCTTTCTTTCTTTCTTTTTTTTTTTTTGAAACAGAGCCTCAAGCTATCCCCCTGGGTAGAATGCCATGGCATCACAGCTCACAGCAACCTCTAACTCCTGGGCTCAAGCAAGTCTCCTGCCTCAGCCTCCCAAGTAGCTGGGACCACAGGTGCCTGCCACAATGCCTGGCTAGTTTTGGCGGGCCTGGGCTGGATTTGAGCCCGCCACCTTAGGTGTATGTGGTTGGTGCCTTAGCCACTTGAGCCACAGGTGCCGAGCCTATGCCTATTTTCTTAAGTGTTCTGATCATGAAAGGATGCTGGATATTATCAAAGGCTTTTTCTGCATCAATTGAGAGAATCATATGGTCTTTTTTATTTTACTTGTATGATGTATTATAGTTATACATTTGCATATATGGAACCAACCCTATAACTGTGGAATAAAACCAACTTGATCATGGTATATAATTTTTTTGATATGTTGTTGAATTCTGTTTGCTAAGAGCTTATTGAATATTTTTGCATCAATATTCATTAATGATATTGGTTTATAATTTTCTTTGTTGGATTCTTTCCTGATATACAACAAATAAACCAATTCCAACTTTTTCATCTATAGTCAATGCCTTTATTATATCAAAACTACCAATTCATTCAATCACAAGGGTAATAAAATGCTAATGTGAAAACTAAAACTCCAGATTTTTAACTAAAATTGTTATACTTTGGCTAGATGTTGAAGGTTTGGGCTTTTTATTTTTTTAACATGTAGTCAAAAGTTTTCTTAAATTCATTAGTTAGATGGACCATTCTCTTTAAAGCCTTTCAGAAGACTTAATTTAATACAACTGTGATAACCTGTGGACACTCTAAAGAAGCAAAATAGACCCTCAGCTCAAATTTGATTTGTATATTAAGACTAACGATGTCATACACACATACCCCAATAGGGTCTGAGAAAGGTTTTTCTTTTTTCTTTTTTGAGACAGTCTTACTATGTCACCCTCAATAGAGTTCCATCATGTCACAGCTCACAGTAACCTCCAACTCTTGGGCTTAACTGATTCTCTTGCCTCAGCCTCCCAAGTAGCTGGGACTAAAGGAGCCCACCACAATGCCCGGCTATTTTTTGTTGCAGTTAATGCGCTGTTTTAGATGGCCAGGCCAGGTTCGAACCCACCACCCTCAGTATATGGGGCCGGCGCTCTACCCACTGAGCCACAGGCACCACCCCAAAAACTGTTTTTCTACTTACCTAATGAGGCTTTTCAAGGGTAAGCAGAGCAAGCCTCCTAAGCTAATCTGAAAATAGCTTGAGGAAGTAGAGATGGGAGATTGGCTTTGGGTTTTCATAGTGGAGAGTGAGGTTGGAGTGAGGGTTCCCAAACGTGGTTTGGCAGTAAAGGAGGGAGCAACCAAGCTTTCTTATAAACTTGTCCAAGTGTGGAGTAGAAAGGGAAAAAGAAGGGGTGAGCACAATCTGTCAGCAGTCACACTTTAAAACATGAAGTCAAATTCTTTATTACTCGATAACTCAATACAAATAAAACTAAAAGCATACCATAAAAGATATTGATCAATATGCTTATATAATTTTATCAAATTTTAAATATCCTAATTTAAGTTATATTTAATTGAGAAATACTGAATATAAAATATAAAGATGAAATTATTTTTATCAAAGAAAAAATTTCAAATGTTCTTCAAAAAAATGTTTTAAAAATACATTAACAGGATCACTGCTATTACACCAATTCAATTTTTAAAAATTACTCTATCCTTTCTCACTTAAATTTCTTACATTAAAGATATATGTATAACTAATAAATTTAGAATTTTACCATTTGTTGTATTAGAAAAAAATAACACAGACTTTATTCACTATTAATGACACAAAGTCTTTGGAATTATTAGGGTATTACTCTGTATACTATAGCAGTGAAGCATAAGTGAATCCCAGTAATTTTGAAAGATTTTTTTTCGTAGCTAAATTATATCTCAGCACTAATTCTGCAGGTACCATTAAAAAGTCTTCTGATGGTCTGGCAGAGTTTTGTTCTTATCAAAGCACCTATAATACTACCAGAATGAAACTTAAGTTCCAGGGTGAAGTAGGCTTACTATTTAAAATAAAGATTTATGAAAAAAGCATCAAATTCTATTAAAATTAATAAAAATTCTACCTGAACATGGATTGCAAAATCAAAACCAAAATAAGTAAGAATTAGCTAATGCCACAAATAAAAACTAAATATTCAGTATGACAGTAAACATAATCCAATAACATAACCATGTTAATCCATCATTGCTTTAATCAACAAGATAGTAGATGATTTCATGTTTAAAGTAATAATATAAATTTATGCCCTCAAAGATTACAGAGCAGTAAAATAATTCAAGAAATTAAAAACTAGTTCAAAAAAAAGTAAACTGGGTTGTATTTTGTGAGGAAGATGAAAAACCTTTTAAAGAAGAAGGTATCGAATTTTCATCCTGTTCAAATGAAAATGGAAAACTAAAATCATCTTTTCCAGCTCCAAATGTATGAGTCGAAGTGACTGATGGAAATGAAAATGTAAATGTATCTTCTCCTTCTGGTTTCTCAAATAAGTTTCCTAAGGAAGATAAATATTATAATATATTACTTTTGGTATATAAAATTTATATAACCTACTGAATTATACTATATTTCCCATAATAAATAGAGTAACATTGAATCATTCATCTACTTTGTAGATATTTAACTGTATTTCTCATAAATACAAGGCACTTAATAATAGTGGGTATTATTAAGGTAAAAACAGATTCAAACATAAACTCTATTTTTGAGTAATTTGAACTCAAGTATACAAAGAACTAGTATAAGGTAGAAAGTGGGGTAAAACACCTCACATGAAAAGAATAGCAGAGAGGCACAAAAATAGGCATGCATAAAAATATTAGACCAGTATAAAAGAAATCAATTCAGTTTGTCAGGAGTACTGAAAAATTAATAAAAAGGTACCAAATGGGAATTATGATGACCTTAGAAATATTGTGAAATGTCCCATAAAAACTGAATTGCATTTAATAGGTAACAGGAAGCCATTAAAGATTTTCAAGCAGAAACATGATTTGAATTATAAGGATTAATGGGTGGCCAGAAAGATGGATGGATGGGCTGACAGACTGATTACCAGATCTTCATGTTCTTTCTCTCTCTCTCTCCCTTTTGCTCTTCATTTTTCCACCTGTGTATTTTTTAGTATATACCCATAAGATGTAAAGGAAAAAAGGTATAACATAGACACAGATCCAGAAAGAACTAAAATCTTCAATCTCACTTTGAATAAATTAATTTGATTTTGTTTTTAATTTCAGGAGAAGTTCATATGAGGTCTTCACAAAATTTCTATGGTCATCATTAATAAAAAAAATAGACTGCCGTGAAAGGCAGCATTCTAGGTGCCATAGGGAATTCAAAGGTGAATAAAACAGAGTCCCTGCCCTGAAAAAACCTGTGACTTAGAGGACAGTTCATATATTTTCATAAATAACTGATAGAAGGGTGTAAAAAAGTATGAAAAAGAAGAGACGTTCAGAAAAGTGAGGGAGAAATCTTTTTTGAATAGATGGTTGAGTGAATAAATAAAAGGGTTTATTGAAGAAAATTTGGTCTTGAAAGATATAAAGTGACAGACGTTGGGGACTGCAAGAAGAACAAAAGCAGGTAAGAAAGTGTAGGCATATTTGAGATACTGAGTTCTTCAGTGGCCAAAGCAGAGGTGTAAGAGAAAAGGCTTAAAAGTTATGTCAGTGGATGAAGAGAGGTTGGTTCATAGGTACAAAAGAACAGTTAGAAGGAATAAGTTCTAATGTTCAATAGTATAATAGAGCAACCATAGTTTATAAGAATTTATAGTCTTATGTATTTCAAAATAGCTAGAAGAGCTTTAAACTGCTCCCAACACAAATAAATGACGAATATCTGAGATGAAAGATATCCCAATTACCCTTATTTGATTATTACATACTGTATGCAGATGTTAAAATATCACCTATACCCCATGTAACTATTATGCATCATTTTTAAAAAAAATGTATATCAGAGGTAGGTTAGAGAAGTAGGAGCATAATTTGACAGTCAATGGGGAATCACTGAAGGTATTTGGGGATTAGGAAAGTGATATGGCCAATATTATGCATTAGGAAGATTAATCAATCTATAGTATTGGTACGCTGAGAGGATGGAAATACTTAGGATGTTACCACAATAGCCCAAGTGAATGGTAATAAGACTTTGAAATATAATGCTTTCAATGAAAACATAAAAGAAAAAGAAATATTTTAGAGAGAGAACTGATAAAACTTAGTAACTAGCTGAACACAGTGGAGAAGTTAGAATTACTTCTATGTTTTGAATCTTAGCAACTAGAACAATGAAGATACCATTAGGGACCTCAAAGGAGAATGAGTTTGATATCAGATATTCTCAGTTGTTAATGACTTTTTTTTGTTTTAGAAGTAAAACTGTTTTATTAACAGATGACATGATGTTAATGTCTTAATGTCTCAGATATAAAGATATTTCAGTAATACAATCAGAAATAAGGTCCTAGAATTTAGAAGTCAGTGCAGAAAGGTATAAATTTGGTCATCACTTGTATGTATTATATTTGAAACCACCATAATGAATGTGTGTTAAATGAATCAAAGTGTCAAAGAAGAAAATGTAAATAGATTTAAAATCTAAATTTAAAATTTTATGTTTAAAATGTAATGAATGCCTACAATTGGTAGATTCATTCTGGTCTCATAGCATTAAATATCATTTATAAAAATTCTAAAATCTATGTCTCTATCCTACTGAATTCTAGATTTACATATAATTTTCTACTTTACTTTCACTTATATATCTAACAAATAGGCTTTTCAATTATAACTCTTCCAAAATTAAAACCCCAACTCCTTCCAACTTTAAATTAACCTCTTCTATAGTCCTCTCATATTTCAATAAATGGCACAGTATTCATGTTAAAACCTTGGCATAATTCTTTCTCTTAGTCTTCATATCCAGTCCACAAAGCACATCTTCCCAGCTCTATCTTCATAAACAAAAATCAGACATTTTCTCATTGCTTCCACTGCCATTAATTCTCACTTGTATCATTTTAATAGCCTCCTAACCTAGTCCCTCCTTCTTCCCTTGTTCCAGTTACAGCCTATTCTCCATAGAGCAGGCAGAGGAATTCTTTAAAAACCTGTCAGATTATTTCAGTCCTTTGCTCAAAACCTTCCAATGGCCTTCCATCTTACTCAGGGGAAAACCCCCAAATCCTTACTAGTCTACAGGTCCCACATTATTTGCTCCTCTTCCACATCTCTGATTTAATCTCCCACCAGTTTATCCTTCCTTATTCCATTCCAATAATACCAATTTACCTCCTGTTCAATGAACATACTGAGTGTGTTCCTTTGCCTGGAACACTTTTTTTCTCAGTAGCTTGTACCTGTGCCTTCTTTTAGATCCCTGCTCAAAGGTTTTCTTTTACTGATGCCTTCTCTGACTTCCTTGTAACACAGCAAACACCTTCCCAATTCAAGTACTTCCTATTGCCCCTACCCTGCTTTACTTTTCCTCATAATACTATTTATCATCAATAGTAAGTAGATGGTTAACATCAGGCCTGGGCTGATTTAGGCCCATCTGGAAGGACACTGGACTCTGACTTCTCACAGCACTGTTTTCTTAGAAAATGTGTAATTAAGATAAATGTACAGTGGTGTGTATGTCTCATCTGTGTGAGATTGCACCTGAATTAGAGGAGCTGTGAGTTAGTGTATAGACTTTGGGTCTCCTAAGGAGAATCATATAAAAGACTGATAGGAAACTGAGGCAAGAACTCTTGTGTGTCAAGGAGACTTACATGCACCATGCCTCTCATCCATAGCAACATGACATGTTCCATGTGGGTTAGGTAGCAAAAAAAAAGTTTATTATTTAAGTAGTTGGTGGGACCCTTAATGAGACAAAGATGCTGTACTTCCTGTTATCTTCTATCCTATTATTTTTCTATAGGTAAACCGTAGTATTTGGTTAAAAATTGTAACATGAGTCAGACTGCCATTTCAAACCCATAACTATTTAGTGCACTGAGTTATTATACATTGATTTATTTGTCTAGTATCGGTTTCTCCCACAAGAATGTAAATGCTATAAGAACTTTGCATTCTTGCCCACTGTTCTATCACCAGAGCCTAAAGCAGTACCTGATATAAAATATAATATATATACATATTAATATTCATATGTTGAATGAATTAACTAATCAAGGGAAAAGGAACAAAGAAGATGCAAAAAATAAATAAATACCAGAGAAAGAGGAGGAAATCCACATTCTGGAAAGAAGCTGGGAATAATCAACCATATCAAATGATGCAAAGAGACTGAATATAATAATAAACACAAGTAAGCCATAATATTTGGTCATTGGGAAGTCATTAGTAATCTCAGAGAAAGCATGTTTTGGTATAGTAGTGAGAGAAGAAGCTAAATTTTTTTTTTTTGGCTGGGGCTGGGTTTGAACCCACTACCTCCGGCATATGGGGTTGGCACCCTACCATTCTGAGCCACAGGCGCCACCGTAAATTGTTAAAAATAGAAATGATTAGTGAGTAGTATGAAAGTAAAGAACAGTTTTTAAAGAATAAACTGAGCATCTTAGAAAATCAGTTACAGGAGATAAATACTATGCTAAAAAGGAAAGTTAACATGTTTTTAAATGTAGCAAACTTTAAGTCACTTACCAATTTCTTGTGATGACAGAGGATTTAGATTTTCTGCAGAATGTTCACTAAACTGTAAAATAATTTCCATTATATATTACTTGTGACATCAGTGGAACAGTATATACAACTTTTATATTTGAATCTAAAGCCTAGTTCTTCTAATATACAGAATTAGACATGTAGCAATTTTCTATACTATTTCTATACTATACTATTTTCTACACTATTGTACTTAAGGAGAGATCTGTCCTCAAAACCTGCCATTTATTTATATTAAAGTAAGGCCTATTGATTAGATTCTGTTAATAGATAAAGTATAAATAGGTTAAGGATGGGTCATACTTTAGAATCTTAACATGATCTAAAATTCTAATTAACTTGTGCTTTCTGCCTATAAAAGTAATAAGAAGGCTCGGCGCCTATAGCTCAACCGGCTAAGGCGCCAGCCACGTACACCTAAGGTGGCGGGTTCGAATCCCCAGCCCG